GAAATATCGGTAACGTAACGGTTAGGTATCGGTGACGTAACGGTGAGGTATCGGTAACGTAACGGAGAAATATCGGTAACGTAACGGTAAAATATCGGTAACGTAACGGTGAAAATAAAATAAAATTTGACTTAACATGTTTAGAGTATGCTAACGTATGCAGATAAATGGCCAGTTATAACATAAATGATTTCATTCAAAAGATCAATCATACCTTGATTGTCAAAGGTTTGAGGCCCATCTCTCTGATAATTTCTGACTCTTGTGCTGAAGGGACAATTGACGGGCAACTGGGTGTAGTTTGTTCCCAGGCGATGTAGGTGGGTATCATGATATGAGAACAGACGTCCCTGAAATCGAACCAAAAGTGAAATACTGCCACCTAAGGAAATACTCTTAAAGTGTATATCAAGGGGAAAAAATATTTTCAAAATCACTTGTATGTGAACAGTGTAGTAGTATGGGTGCAGTATTTTTGTATGTGGACCTCTCTTTTCAGAGATATAAACATTTGAAATATCAATATGCAAATGAGATGACGTAAATTAAAGACTAAATCATTATACAAAAATGCTGTTGTGGGAAGTACTGCTGTTTTTCTCATTTGCAAATCATCCTGAACTGAAATATGCGGTTTTGTACATTTTTAGATTATTTCACTTCAGAACACTTAGCTTGTTGTAAATTACACTGCAAAATGTAACACATTCTGGAATTTACGTCATCTCATTTGCATATTGATATTTCAAATGTTTATACCTACTCACATTTGATGCCAATTACAGGAACCCTACCCAAGACCCCAGAGGTGAGAGGTGAGTGGACTGACTAGTCAATAGTCTACGGACATACCTGAAGCATCTTGTCAGGAGATGCCTCTATCCCAGGTACCATATTGGCTGGGTTGAAAGCACTCTGTTCAATCTCAGCAAAGTAGTTCTTGGGGTTCCTGTTCAATACCATCTTACCAACTGGAATCAGAGGAAACTCACTATGTGGCCAGATCTATAAATAGAGTAAATTAAACCAGATTTGTTAAAGGAGCTCACCGCCACTGGAACAAGTCTACTTAAGTCCCGTTTACATGGGCAATATTTGAAGTGCGATTGTCGAGCGACAATCACAGTTTTTTGGTTGCAACCTCAAATCGTTCGTGTAAACGGCCTGTGGCAAACATCGAGCGACAAGTTGCCTCAAATTCCAACATACTTGAAATTTTGTACAACTTCATGGAGATTTTTGCTTGAAAAATACCAAAATCAACTGTGCCCATCCCCCCTTTGAAGGAAATTTGCACTCGTGAATATCACTTAAGAGTTTTATTGATATATCATTTAATGAAAGGCTGCTAAAAAAGGAAGTAGTGATATGATTTTTCAATAAACAAGTCTATGGTATAGGGTGGCATGGGTGGTGTAGTGGTGGTTTATCACTTGCTCTCACCGCTGTGGTCCATGTTCGTGCCCCAGCTCAGACTGGATCATGTATGAGTTGAGTTTGTTTGATGTGTTGTTCTATCCTATGCTACGAGGGTTTTCTCCAGGTTCTCCGGTTTCCTCCCTCCATAAAAATCAACATGTGAGTTGAGTGTTGTATGTTGTAAATTATATAGAATGTAGTGATAGTGCGTGTGGAGGGAACCTCACAGAAGAGTTCCGTACAGGGAGTAATGGTTGTAAAATATAAGCTATAAAATATAAGATTATGTACACCTAATTGAAAAAACCTTAAAAAATTGTTATATGATTGAAAAAATGTTATATGATCAAAGTTAAGACCGAAGGGGAGCATGGGAAGACAAACAATTATGCTAATTTCATGCGTATCGCAGTTTTCCCTTCCTGTACACATTTTATGCATCATGGCATGGGCATATTGTTAATCTAGGTCGACCAACTTTGCTCTACAGTGCATTATTACATCTATATGCAAATATAATACACATTTTGGAGTACCCAAAACCCTTTTCTGTCTTAGCTTTGATGATACGACCTTCGAACCCGACTACGTTTTTTCAATTAGGTGTATAAGTTTTTATGGTTTCATTTTTCAGGAATAAACAAATGACTGACATTTTAGTAGCCATACTTAAAGCAAGAAACAATGCTCCTAGGATTATAATAGCTATTGATTACGATGACTGAAACTACAAAATGAGCAGCTATATACTAACCTTAGTGAGATCAAAAGGGTTGAATCTGTACTTCTCAGCCTCGTCAAAGGTCATCACTTGGATGTACATTGTCCAGGAGGGCTAAATAATGAAAGAGGTACATTGTAAATATTTGTGATTTTATCAGCATCAACACCCACCACTATCATTATGATCATCACCATCAACATCATCACCACCACCATCACCACCACCATCACTACTTTCATCACCATCATCTACACAAGCATCCTCATGATCATTAACATCATCACCACCATCACCTTCATCACTACCATCACTATCATCATCAACATCATCAATTAACTAAAACCTTTATCATCGTTACCAATGACATCCCGACTGTTATCAACATCAAATCAACTGTAGTATAGACCCCTTGTATGTGACGTCAAAGCAGCTCGATCTGGGGGACAAAACAAGAGAATTTCAAGAGAATCTTCTGAGAATTGGAACCTATTGTTTTGTCCCCCAGATTGAGCTGCATTACAAAGTGGTACAAGGGGTCTATTTAATATGTCATGATGAACAAGACATTTTTCTACTCACATTTTTCCCTTCTGCAATACGGTTATACAAATCCCTGTTGCTATAATCAGGATCCTCTCCTGACATTCTGGTGGCTACTTCTACTGGGACGTTCTTGATTCCTTGATCAGTCTATAACAACAACATGTTGTTCAATTCTAACTCCTAACCTTGAGCATAATAATGTTTTCCCATTACAGCACGTGTCATTCCCTATAGTGTCATTCCCTAGAGTATCATTTCTTTATTATTTTAACAGTTCCACATCAGCAGAGGTTTCAGCCTAAGCCTGTTACTGGCAGTCAATTGCCAGGTTCTTCACCTTCATCGCTGGCTATTTCAGAATCGGCATAAAATCATTACCAAAATATTAATCTGGTGCAGAAAATAGCTGTCTATTTTGTCATATGAGAGCCTATTACCTCAAAAATTACTAAATCCTCTGATGAGAAGACACATGAGTATGGTTACAACTCAAACAAAGGGTCTTAGTCTCAAGAGAATGACACATGGTTTGAAATGGGAAAACATTACGTCCAAGGTAAAACGTCTATTACTCTGTCTTCTGATTTGCAACAGTTAAACAAAGAAATGATACTCTAGAGAATAACACATGGTCTAAATGGGAAAACATTACGCCCAAGGTAAAGAGGTCTATTACTCTGTCTTCTCATTTGCAACAGTTATACAAAGAAATGATACTCTAGAGAATGACATGTGGTCTGAAATGGGAAAACATTACGCCCAAGGTAAAGAGGTCTATTACTCTGTCTTCTGATTTGCAACAGTTATACAAAGAATTGATACTCTAGAGAATGACATATGGTCTGAAATGGAAAGAGATTGATATCCCCAAGCTGATTTCAAAATCCTTTGGTTCATAATTTGAATAAAATATGGTTTGGGACCCAAACACATGGTACCCAAAATTTCAAGCATACGTTTATATAATATGCAAACCTTCATGTGGAACTTGCAATAGACAGCTTCACCAGCAGCGTTAACCATCTTAAAGGTGTGGCTACCGTACCCATTCATGTGGGTGTGGCCATCAGGGATGCCGCGGTCACTGAACAGGAAGGATACTTGGTGGGTGGTCTCTGGACGTAGAGTAATAAAGTCCCAAAACATGTCAGGATCCTGTGGATATGATAATCACAAAGTCATTACTTTAACAATAACTGTTATAAATCTTGCATTCTGATTAATTGGGAGCTTACAGCATGTCTGTACACTTTTAGTTGCATCATTCCTATCCAAAATAATGGTTGTTGTAATTTGTATTTTATAAAAGAAATAAAAAACTTGCTTGCTGTGCTGTGTGGAGTTATAAAGCACTTGGGGATTGGCAGAACACTTGAGAAGTGTTGAGAAGCACTCCGCTACACGTCATACTTCTCCTAACACTTTTCTCGTGTTCCGCCAACCCCGTGTGCTTTATAACTGTGCACAGAATATGCCAAAATCTTCTATTTCTTCATAATAATAATAACATATATACATGGCTTATATAGCGCTTATACAAGTCTGTGCTAAGCGCTTAGTAACATAACGTTAAAGGAATAAATAAATAAGATAGATAATATGATTATGAAGAAAAAGCTAACTTAAATAAATGAGTCTTGAGTTTAGATTTAAATAAAGATAAACTGGAAATATCTCTAATTGAAGAAGGTAGAGAGTTCCAGAGGAGCAGAGCAGCAACAGTCTTCAGAGGATTTTTGGTATGAATTGCTGACCTTCAGATGTGTGACTGGGTTCCTCTTCTGAGTGTGAATAAAGCTAGGAAACTGAAGCAAATAAAATATTAGATATTAATCATAGATAGCATTGAGCAGACTACCTTGACAATATGGCAGCCATATTGGATCACAAGGCATTACGGGGCATCAAAGGGGTAAATAAAGCTTTGTTACAGTAATGACATATGATTGATATTAACAGCACATTGATCTCCTTTACCCATTAAAGAAAGACAAACACACAAAACTCTATACATTTTCAGTCATCTTTATTTTGCTATGACCCCTGCCATATCGTCTAACTTTATTATACCTTATACTTTATTATTTTTCCCACAGATTCATTTCTTTGCTGCTCACTTTCACCTTGCCACCCTTAGTAAATCCATGAAAATATTCCTCTGGACAACATATATTCAAATTTTGGTAACTAATAGGCCATTTCGCGGATCCCGTTACTCAACCTCAGCCTCGTCAGCGTGTAATTATTCTTTAGAATTTGACTACAGTCCGCAGTAATGAAAGGAATTTACACATCAACGAACAATTGAAACACTTAAAAATTTCACAGGTTGTAGGCAATTTTTAAAGAATATATTACACGCTGACGAGGCTGAGGTTGAGCTGTGGGATCTGTGAAATGGCCTATTCTCTTAATTTTTTTTTCTAAGTTGCAAATGACTCACCAGGATTGGGTCTCTGATGAAGAAGATTGGCGTATTGTTGCCAACAAGATCCCAGTTTCCTTCTTCAGTATAGAACTTCATGGCGAAGCCACGTGGGTCGCGCACGGTATCAGCGCTGCCTGATTCACCACCTGTGCCAACACACACATAACAACAAAACAATAATTCAAGGACACTATAATTGTTGTTCAATGCCTGGGAGTTTTTAATCCAAATGTTGTTAATTCTGTTGTTAATATTTCCTCTATATTTCAGTGTTTCTACTTGAAGTTTATCAAAAATTATAGGTGTAAATATATTGTTTAAAAAAAACGTAATTTATAGACCTTCGACACTAACTCAATTCCTAAGGGGGGGGGGGGGTGAAATAAAAATATTAAAATCAAAAAAGCTATCAATCCTCAAGAGAAGGGATTTTTTTGCTTTGACCCCAGTATTGGGAACTAAGACCTGATTATTGTCTTGCTGCAATGTTTACCCGTTTCATATATCATGTATCATTCCCTAGAGTATTATTACTTCTTTCTTACTGCTAATAATTTTTATAAGCATGCGAACTTGGTAGCTGTGAGCTGCATGCTGGAATTTAGATTTTTGCTGCTGTCAATTTAAACTAGTCAGTTACATACATACATACATACATACATACATACTTTTATTTGTTAAGCAGGTTAACTAAACTACGCAGCCACAGGCTTTTATATAATTATTGGATTGGTGGCAGTGCAAAATCACAACTAAAGAGTTTGCATGCTTATGAAAAAAGCATTAATAGTTGTGCATGAGAAGCCACATGAATATGGATGTAAATCAAATAAAGAATCTTATTCTATAGGGAAAGACACATGGTCTGAAATGGAAAAACATTATACAGTAAATGCCCAAGGTGAAGATGTTTATATCACCCCGTGTAAGGGAGTCCAGAATCCACAAAATTTTAGGCTTTGGAACCTGGAATCCAGCACTCTGGAATCCGGAATCCAGGCCTTGGAATCCAGAATCCAGTTTATAATGGAATCTGGAATCCACCCTTAATTAAATTGAAATTTAGATCAGGAAATTGTTGTTTAATATTAGAGGTTATATGACAAATGAATTCAAAAGGGAGGATTGGGCTATTTGCAATACACTATGGTGTCTGAAACTTAACGTATGCGCTTTTGTAAATTGTTTTTTCATCACACTAGTCATATATACCAGGGACACCTCCCTAGTTATACCGGCAAGTATATCAAATATAATTTTCAGAGAAAGTATCTAAAAATTAATGATATGGAATCCAGAATCCGCAATACAAAAGTTTTGGAATCCGGAATCCAGACCCTTGGAATCCGKAATCCAGAGTCTCGGAATCCGGAATCCAGCACTTGGAATCTGGAATCCACCATACACTGTAAGTCCAGATTCCCTTACGTGGGGCAATTCAATAAGGTCTGTACAAAATTATGCAGCACAATAACACATGAAAACTAAACTCACCAACAGTAGAAAATCTGACCAAACATGGAGTTGTCTTGCCAACTCTTTCAAAGATCTTGGCCTTGCAGTATTTAGAGATGTCGTGGGTTACCTCAAAATACCCAAATGCTCCGCCTCCCTTAGCATGCACAACTCGCTCCGGAATCCTTTCACGGTCAAAATGTGACATCACATCCATGTACTGGGTGTCTTGCATCAATACTGGGCCACGAGGGCCTACGGTCATCGTTGAAGTGTTGGTATCCACAGGTATTCCACCGCTAGTAGTCAGAACATCCTGACCCTTCATTAATAGAAGAAAACTATTTTTAGTTAAGTTTTGAAATGAAGTGAATGAGACATACAATGTAGAGTGCAAATAATATACCCGTGAAATAGTTACGATGAAATAGGAGATAGTTAGCGCTTAATTAGACAAAACATAGGAATTCAGTGAGGCATGACAAGGACACGGGCGTTTACCAGAGTAACAAAGTAATACACAAATGAATGAATACGAAAATGCAAACATGTCAAATTATACAAAGGAAAAACATGTACAACAAAATATTGTTTCAGTTTTTGTAAGTGTCTTTAGAAATATTTCAAAATGTGCACCCTTGAGTAGCACACCTGCACTAGTTTACCCATCACAGCTTGCCTATTTTAACTATTTAGACTTAGGCAACAAAAGGTTAGTAATTAGTTAGCTAGCTATCTATTTCATGGGTATATTATTTGCACTCTACTTCTACAAAATAATCAATATATCATATTAGTATAAACATTCACTGATGGTTTATCACAAATTTCAGAGTTAGTTTTACAATTTTCAGCGATCAGTGTCTGACTTTCCATGCTGTATATCAAAAATGCATTTTAACTCGTCCGCTATAGTATCTGTGTATTTGGAGGTTAGGGCGGCAAGCCTTTGACTATAGTTTTTTTACTATAAGTAGAGTGAGTCAAATCAACTCCCAAACAAGAGTTTTAAAGGCTTTTTTGCACAAAAAAAACAAAACACTTAAGGCATGTAATAAACTAATAATCTTTATCTTAAGGTCATTTCTTTTATCATTTCATTTATTTATTTCATTTTTATATTTTTATCTCTGGGCCACAGGGATCCCAAACCTTGGAATTAAGTGTTGAGGTAGCATGACTATGCATAATTTTTTCAATAAACACATACACATCGGTATAGAAAACCCATATAGACTAACATCTACTCTTTATCAAAAGCTCTAATAGAGCGGATGCAATTAAACCATGAAATAAAATCAAACTAAATACTAACTAATAGTATCTATTTAGTGACTAATAGTTGCTATTACTCAACCAGAACATTCATCATACAAAGACAAATACACAAGAGACCAAATTTGTGGGTTTTTTTTAATGTTTTTGTTTAAATTGCATCCGCTCTATTTTTTTTATTATCATTTCATCAAAAGCTCTAGTAATTTTTTATTATCATTTTATTTCATTTATTTATAGAGTACCGAAGTGATGACATCACATAATATTTTATTTTCACTGTATCATAATTTCCATCCTTGATTTTGATAGGAAATCAAGAAATACGCTAACAGGCCAAATTTCAGGAGAATTGGTTGAATATATATAGCAACAGAGATACGGCCGTCTGAATATATAATTTCCCCACCAGGGCAAAAATACAGAGATTTGTATGGGGAAATTATATATTCAAAAGGCCATATCTCTGTTGCTTTTTAACCGATATTGTCAAACTCATTATTAAATAATTCATGAGGAAAACACGACAGAAATCACGACCGTGAAGAGTGTTGTAAATSTGATACAAAWTTGTGTTCATTTGCATGAACTTTAAGTTGGATTTTCTTGGCCAGATTCACTTTAATTTTGAAAATTTTAGTGAAACACAAAGGAACTAACCTAGACGTTTGATAAGTAATATACAGTGTTCGTGTCCGTGTTTTGTCCAATCTCGGCTACGCCTCGAGTTTGTATATCTGATACAAAACGGCCACTCATACTGTATATATTACTTATTAAAATTTGGCTCGTTATGTCTTTCTTGATGTTCTATTGAAATAGACCCTTTTCGAGTTCCAAATTACCGCTGTACAGTGTTTCTTGATTACATTTGCTCAGGCTAAGCCTCGAATCAGTGTCTAATTACTCGCAAATACCAACGGTAAAGTATTGCACCAGTTCAACAATATGAACACTTTGAAACTTGATGGACCTTGACTTGAAAACGTGAATATTCTTCACAAAATCAAGGCTTGGCCTGAGCAAATGAGGCTGTAATCAAGAAACGCAGCGGTAATTTGGAACTCGAAAAGGGTCTATTGAGGATCGAAAATTGTCAAAAGCAAAATTTTGTCTTTCGTGACGTTAAACTTCGGTACTCTTATCTCCTATCTCTGTGCCACAGAGATCCCAAACCCTGGAGTTGTGCTGAGGTAAAATGACTAAGCATTTTTCAATGCACTCATTGGTACAGAAAACCCATATAGACTCATCTACCCTTTATCAAAAGCTCCATAAATACGGTGATATTTATTAAATGCCAGCACTGCTATTAAGTTTTTGAATGATTTGCATGTGTATAAGGTGCACTTCACATGCAAGATAAAGAATGTGTACCAATATTTGTACACGTAACATCAAATTTCTGTCCTGCTCTGGAATTATACAGTTTTGGGGGGAAAAGCAACTTAAATACGCTTTTCAGATGACAATGAAAGACATTAATTATTGCAGCGTAAAGCAATTAAATCGCGTATTTCGTGATTTTACGAGAGCATTGTACTCTAAAATTGCACAACAAAACGTGAAAGCCAGATGAAATAACTGTGTAAATGAGGCTAAAAAGAACAGAACTCCAAATTTACCTTTTGTGCGTGGGCAAATTCGCTCATTTGCTCGCTTGCTTTGGTCCTGGAAGCCATTTTTTGAGGTAAAAATGGTAAAAATCAAAGATATTAACCAACCTCACTGAGAAGAATACGTATTGTGGCGACCTATTGTGGCTAGATCAGGGATATAGGTCACGTGATGTCACGCGGTTATCACACAGGGTACCCATCCGAGGAAATATTTGGTATCGTTTGTTCTTTCTTTCTTTCTTTCTTCCTTTCTTTC